TTATTAGAGCAGTACTAATATCGTAGTAGACCATAATTCTACAACCTTGTCCTTTTGGAGTGACGGGGGAGTACTATGTTTCCGTACTCTAAATGGGGACGGATGAAGCCTGCACATAATGCCCATCAAGGATTAGTCAATGGAAAACAGGTAGTACTATTTCTGATGCTTAATACTTTTGGTGATTTAGGATTTGTTCACGCCTAATGACCAAGAAATTTAAACAAGTTGAAGCGGTTTTTGTAGAATTAGCACATGTGATTTGTCTGATTACATTGCAAATCAGCACTTATTAATAAAGTCATGAAGTAATGAGTTATTACAAGTAGAAATCAATAACGTTATAGTGAGCATATAATACAATACTACATTCGATAGTTTTTGACAAATAAATTTGCCACTATTATTTCATGAAGAAAAGAGCTTTATCTTAAGCTTATTTATAATCAGGAAGGGGTTTTGTGGATATTATAGTAACTTACTAGTTAAATTCATGAGTCAATCAAAGCTAGACCATCATGAAAACCTGAAAGTACTGGACGCCGTTCGAGTCCTGGGAGCAGGATCGTGGATGCGCACTGTTGGCGAGTCCCATACTAAGACGAGTTCAACTGGGTCTGTTGTGTGACAGTAACTCACTGAAGACAATGGTGGACGGTGGAGCGATTTCGTGGATTGGTTCAAGTTAGACATTAACACCATTGGATGCTGGTCGGCTCAGTAGTCTAGAGGTTAAGTGTTCGTGCGCGAGACCGATAGGTCCTGGGCTTGGAACTCGCGAGTTGGGATCGTGGATGCGCACTTTTGAGTACATCCATATTAGGATGAAACGGCAGTCGAGTGCTTCCAGGTTTTCCATAATGGTATAGACTTAACTGATTCTGTCTTGTCCGTTTTATAAAGTCGCTTTTGGACGAGTGTTTATTGCTGCTGCTTACCAACATATTTCTGCAGAACGTTTGCAGTATTTATATTTCCTATGAGTGAGAGATATGTCTGAATGTAACGATGTGTTCGGAGAGTCCTTGGACTAAAAGTACACTCTAATCTTTTAAGGTCTGCTGTGAGCGCCGAAGGTATAAGAGTAAGCTAAGAAAAGAATCTAGTATAGAATAATCAACGATGGGATTAGACGCTTATAAAACAGGAGAAATAACCTGAAAGTTCGCCACTTGACTGAGAGGAAACAGGGATTTCTCTCTAGTCCCAAGGTTTCAGGGACTGACACCAAACCATATTTGCATTTTTGCTTACAAAGCACCTTCATGTATTGCAGATTTTCACATTGGGTCACACAGAAAGCCATCAGGTTATCAACATATGTGCCAACCAAAGATACATCATTCACAACCAAGGTAACAAAATGACGAAGTGTTAACCTGAGTAATATGCACAGGGACTGAATAACTTTGTGACTGTCGTTTTTAAAATAACCTCTGGTTTTACTGATTTAGAATAATTAACCTTTACTGAACTTGCCGTAGAAAATATAGTGTAGAATCCAAACAACGGTTTGGACTGTTGAATAGCTGTCCAGGCAAGTTAGACACGCGCCCCTGCCCGTCAAAATCAAAACAAGTAATCGGGTAAATAACTGTTCTATAATTCATCATAAATTTAAATGTACATCGTTGCCTAAACAAATATTACCACCCGGCTATTCAACCAATAATTGTTCAATCAATCAGATCTAAATTACAATAAATAAAGTTAATAAAAGATGCAGGAAAATTACCAGTCACAACAAATGAACGCTATTCTATCCTGACTTGGTAGAACACACACAAAAGGAGGAGCAAATCAATATGGCTACCGCCAGGAATAAGTATCAAGTAAAACAACATAGATGTAGTTCGGGAAGAAACACAAAAACTTAGTGAAGGCGTAAGAAAAATAAAAACTATAATAAAAAAACACAAATAATAACAAGTCAGATGTAATCAAAAAACTAACAATCTACAACCAAGGGGATCAAGAGGAACAAAGTGCAAGTGTATACATGGAGAGATTTTCACACACACACAAAACATTCAAAACGGATCTTTCAGATAGTGACTTCTGCAGTAGAATTTAAGAAGTTGTGAGTGTGGAGTACCTGTCAGGAATGGCTCACATATTTACTGCTCTATAATCAGATTCAGATTCAAATTTGTGTAGTAAAGTAAGAAGGCCTACGGCCTATGTTATTCCTTTTCTAGTATGCTTCTGTGAGTGTCCAGTCTTCTCTTGAAAGCGTCAATTGAAGATGCGGACACCACTGCTTCAGGCAGCAAGTTCCAAGTATTGATGACTCGGAGTAAAAACCTGTATGCCACGGGTATTTTGTTCGTTCCTGGCTTTTCTACTCGCCTGCTGTGTCCTCTGGGGTGTCCCGATCTAGTGGGAAGAAAGAGAGAGAATAAGTTAGGTCCGAAATCATTTCTCAGAATTCTGTACATCAAAATTAGATCTCCCCTCAGTCTGCGATAGGACAGAGTAAAGAGGTCCAGTTTTTCAAGTCGCTCCTTGTATGATAAACTCCGGAGTTCCGGAATTGCACGGGTAGCTGCTCTCTGTACGTTTTCTAGTATGTCCGAGTCACCTTTTAAACAGGGGCTTGCAGCCTGAACGCAGTTCTCTAGCTTAGTTCCCACTAAGGATGTATATACTGTGGTGAACATGGTAGTATCTAACTTAATGAATGTCCTTTTTAAAGCCCAGAGGGTTCGAAACCCCTTGGCTGCGACCTCCCGGCAATGGGCCGTCGTCTTAAGATCATTACTCACCGTCACCCCTAGATCCTTATGAGACCAGACTACGGGTAATGACACATCCCCTATGTTGTACTTATTAACCTTTGAATCCCTCAAGTGCATGTAGACACACTTTTCCGCGTTCATAGGCATCAGCCACTCTTTAGACCAGTTTATCATATTATTTGAGTCTGCCTGAAGAGTAAATGCGTCTTGTCTCCAGTTATCACTCGCCAAATTTTTACATCGTCAGCGTATAATAACACTGGAGACTGTACTATACTTGTAAGATCATTAACGTACATTATAAAAAGTAAAGGACCTAGGACGGAACCTTGAGGTACGCCACTAAGTACTGGTCTCCAGATGGAGCACTTGGAATTTATTCTTACTTTTTGTCTACGACCTACTAGGAAATCTTTAATCCATTTTAAAAGAGGTCCGGCAATACCAAGGTTTTCCAACTTCAATAGCAGTCTATTAGTTGGCAGCTTGTCAAAAGCCTTACTGAAATTTATGTAGACAACATCCACTGAGTTTCCGTTGTCTAGCGCATTAATCCAGAACTCCTTAACTATAAGGAGGTTCGTTGTACAGGATAGACCCTTTCTAAAAGCATGTTGTGCCATGTTCAGCAAGTTATTGATTTCCATAAATGCCGTTATGGTCCGTTTGATTATTCTTTCCAGTATTTTAATTACAACACTGGTGAGACTTACGGATCTGTAATTCGATGGAACTTGTCGTGGACCTGTTTTATGTATGGGAGTGACGATTGTGTCCTTCCAGTCCATAGGTAACACACCTTGGTCAAGTGACATATTGAATATCACAGTCAGTGGGGCTGCGATATATTGGGCAATATGTCTCAAGATTTTGGGGTGTAGTTCATCTGGTCCCGTTGACTTCTCCATGTTTAGGGTGCTAAGAGCGAGCAGCTGGTTTGTTGACTCTGTATTTGGGTCTGGTTCTTTCTCTAGAGGAAGATTGGACGATATATTTGATGTGTTATCAATATATCGAGGACCGTCTGATCTAATCTGGCTAGCGATTGCAGGAGATGTTGAGCACGGCGTTCTCCCACGTGATCTGGTGCGGCTGCATGATCGAGCACCTTCAGCTAGGTGAGTCCATTAAAACATGTGGTCAGCAGCTCTACAAAATATTGAGAATTCGGATGCAGAGAGTACAAGGACTAGGGAATTTTTTAGAACATTAGCACTTAGGTGTATATGCACTTAATAAACACATCGAAATCTTTAACGTTGGATTTGATAAATTGGGAAGTTATGCTCTTTCGGTTGATAGCATCAGTAAAGTTGTTAGGTAGAAAATAGCCCAAATCTACGACTTTGTGGGTCCACGGTTCTGTGGACAAAAGAAACTGAAAACGGAGATTTTGCGGTTTCAGTTGATGTCAAAAACTTGAGTGAAGTAAAACACCAAACACGAAAATAATTGCACCTCATATAGGCGAAACAAAACACAAATTCTTTAATTGCTACGTTGAGTTTTAGAATATGCATCAAATAAAGTTACTACGAGGGATTATGGTGACAGCGTCTTTTATTTCTGTCCAGAATCTACCACAGCCCTAACGGTATTGAAAGAGAATAGATTTAAAGGTACAGAAGTATAACAGAATCACACTATCCAGATATCGAAACATTCCAAGCACGACATATCCATGCCAAACAAGGGAGAGGATAAGGACTGAGAAGAACGATATATTTGAGTGGATTCAGAGATAAAATGTGGGACTACTAGGCTGAATATCTAGAAGTGAAAGAGGGTCATTCTAGCTTAGTCGAAGTGTGAATATTAAGGCTCATAAATCGGCTTCAAATATCAAACTCCATTGAAGCTAACGAGGTAAAGATGGGGATCAAATGCCTACAAACCTATTTGTTTCATGGACTAATTTACCAGTACGTGTTTTGTTTCCTGATCAAAGCTTCCTTTTATCCACTTACGTCCTCTCCTTTCAATTTCCCGCGATGAGAATAGGAATTAAAATTTTCCGTAGATGAAACCCTCCTTCAATAACTGGATGTACATCCCTGAGAACAAACATTTTACCGTTTCAGTTCACTTAAAGTTTATGAGTATGAACCAGGAAACACACCGAACGTCTTATTACATGTGGCTTACTGTTTCTGATGTTCGGTAAGTGAGAAAATTCCCACAGAAATATTAAGTATCAGCCTATGCTAAAACAGTTTTAAAGTCAAGTTTGCAGCCCCAAGTTTACAGCTTCCTACATGGCCTTGTTTCCTATAGGGCACCTTAAAATTTCTTCATTTGTGTCCTTGTTTCTGATTGGCTTGACCATGTTGTGGTCATCCGGGTAGTATGACGTTCGGTGGCAGGTGGTCTCGCCTGACAGGTCTAACTATTAAACATGGTAGCTATTCCGGACTGGCATTTTCTGTTCCAATATTCGGCTCTCTTGTCTACTATGTTTACCTACATAATGGAGGTGAACGAACTGTCTACAATCATGTTTTGACAGCCAAAAGGTTCCTGAGGTATTTATTTGAGTGGTCGAACTACTCTTAATTTCAATGTTAGAGCTGTTTATACTGGGACTCTTATATCTATGGATTATAAGTGGACTATGACCATATTCCCACATGCAAGTAAAGTCCATGAATATATATTTTCGTGTTGACCTGTTTTTTAGGGTTCTAAACATTATCATGATGAATTGGCTAAATGCCATCAAAGAGCTGCGGACAGGATATTACAAGGGTGTCTTTCTAATGGAGGTTTATATATCAAGATGGGACAGGGTTTAGCTAGTATGAACCATGTCTTACCTGTGCAGTACACAGAAACATTAGAAAAATTGCATGATCAAGCACTTGTACGTTCAGGGGATGAGGTACGTTCATAATGAATTCACATAGGTTTAGAGAGTTTACCACTCATTCTGCTTTATCTGTAGTGGTTGGTAAGCCAGTTACAAGGCTGAACGCACGTGACCACTTTATGTAATCATTGTCTCAAATTTTTCTGACATACATTTCACTGACTTCTCCACATGTAGGAAAAAAATCAAGTGTCAGATTTCGGTAAACTGTCAAGTTACATGTAGATCTTCTGGAAGCATCTAGATATCACATTTGTGTGGCCAGCGAGTTTGGTTATCCTCCGTATTACAGTTGCAAAAAGTAGCATAATACTTAAATATGTACTCAGCAAGTTGCACACATTTACTTTTTACTTCAAAATGTATGATATCAAGTTGGGGTTATCAGCACCAAGTGTTCTGAGTTTTCAGCCTCTCTTTTTTATCTCAGATACCAGTGACAATATTGTGACTCGCCAGTCACAAGTGAATCATCTTGACGTCAGCCTTCAAAGCTCTGGTATATATGCTTTAGGACTATTTACCGCCTTCAGCAATGTTATCTTTCACATAACAGGCGAATTACCATATTCTGTGTGACCTTTCAAATGGTTAAACATGTGACAGGTTCTACAATGCTTATGACCGATTGACTGGGTCTTATAGTTGACTTCAGTGAATTCAATCTTTAAAATAATACTACTGCTTTGCTGGGACTAGAACTAAGTCAGTTCATACGATAAAGCTATGACTTAAAAGAAAGATCAAATATCATCACTTGGTGTTTTACAACTTCATTTTGACTTCGAAATTTTGTGTTAGATGTCTTAAATATGTTATCATAATCTCCATACTACGGGGTCATCAAAATGCGTCACAAACTAGTATAATAGTACTGTAAATATATAGGGGAGGGAATGTCTTTGAAGGAGCTTACGCTGGTAATTTCACGCTGTTTAAAGAAGCAAAAAAATTACAGGTGAACTCCTATCACCTTGTAACTTTGTGAATTTAGTTTGATGATGGCACTTAAATCGGAACCGATAATTCAAAATATTGAAGTTACAATTAGTGTTCTCTTATGCTTAACCTAGCTTTCAAGACTATTAGAATATGGATATATGCTGTGACAGTATTCACTTCATCACTTTTTCAAAAATGGAAAGTGTCAAACTCTTCGGAAATCCTAATTTCATATATTCTCTGTCTCGATGCAAAGAATTAAAAGCGCATGATTTCATTTATTTTCGTGTAGTGTTACATTATCTACGTGTTTTAATAAATTCAGTAATTAGGTTTCTTCTGATTAACGGATATTGATCGAGATGTTTAAGTTGTCTGACATAGAGAATAATTTGATGTCTTAGGAAGACTGTAAAATGTAGATTTTAAGTTGTATATGCTAGATTTGTAACATACTTGATGAGCTCTTTGTAACGAAATCTCACGGTTAAATACATTCCCGTATATTGGTCTCGACGTATTTATTTATTATTATTTATTTGAACACATATATATTGGCACAGGAGTGCGCTAAATATATATGTGCCACACAAAACAATGAGAATCTAAGAAGAAAAAGAAAAAAGGTGGGGGAACGTACAAAAAAACAACGAAGAGATTGGTGTAAGGTAGTGTAATAATAATAGTAATAGCAGGTAAAAAGAAGGGTAAAATTAGAAGAAATTTTTCAGTTAAGGAAGATACAACCACGTTTTATGAAGAAAGTAAAAGAAGGTTACAGCAGGATCGCCACTGACTTCTATTCTAAGCCATATCTGATAACGTCTCTAGCCACTGTGTAGCACCATCTCTCGGACCCCAATCAGGGAGTCGTGAAGGACCAACAGAAGCCAGTCCTTCGCAGCTTTCTTTCATACTCCGACACTATGTCATAAACTGACCACCTCTCCGCTTTCTCCAACCAGTCCCAGAGTCGGCAAATAATGCACGACGTGGAATTCTCTGAGACGGCATTCGTAGAACGTGTCCAAGCCACCGAAGTCGGTGTTTCAAGATGGTGACACCAATTGATTATCATCTCTGTGCCCGAACACACGATGCCGAACCTCTGCATTACTGACATGGTGTTGCCACTGAATGTCAGCAATCCTTCGGAGACAGCGATGATCGAACACAGAGAGTCGTCTAACGTCCTCAACTCGGAGAGGCCAGGTTTCACAAGCATAGAGCAGAACTGCTCTCACCGACGCGTTGTAGACCCGACCTTTTACAGCCAGACTAACATCACGAAGGCGCCAAAGATGGCTCAGATTGGCATAAGCCGCTCTGGCTTTCACTATACGTGCATTAATCTCACCACTCACACCCCCACCAGCACTTATGCAGCTACCCAGATACACGAACTTCTCGACTACTTCTATCTGCTCACCATCCAGGGTGAGTACAGGATTGGAATCCTGCCAGTCTTGTAGAAGTACTTTGCACTTCGAAGGTGCAAAGCACATACCATACCTACGGACACTGATTGCCAACTGATTAAGTGCGGATTGCATGCCTTGGGCATTATCGCACAGTAAGACAATATCGTCCGCATACTCAAGGTCGAGAAGTCTTTCTCCAGGCAACAGATCCACACCACCATTACTTACATCCATCAGAGCTGTTTCCAGAATGTCATCGATGGCAAAGTTGAAGAGGAATGGTGAGATTGGGCAACCCTGCCTAACCCCACTGCTCGAATGGAACAATGGAGAAAGGTGGTTGTATGCCCTCACTCTGCCTGAGGTGTTTGTATATAGGGCTTTTAGGATGTTAATAAACTTCTCAGACACACCCTTCTTCAATAGACAATCCCAGAGAACAGTCCCGTCCAACGAATCGAAGGCAGCCCTGATGTCAAGAAACACTACGATTGTTGGCCTTTGACAAGTATGACGGTGTTCTAACATTTGGTGGAGGGTGAAGATATGATCAACACATCCTCTACCAGAACGAAACCCAGCCTGCTGCTCGCGAGTCAATCTTTCTCGGGTTTTGAACAATCTACGAAGTATGACGGAAGCCAATAGCTTGGACGCAATCGGAAGTAGACTTATCCCCCGATAGTTGTTACAGGAACGACGTGAACCCTTTTTAAAGATAGGGACAACTATCGACTCAATCCATGACGTTGGTACACTTTCTAGTTCCCAGACCATTGTAAACAACGTCGTCAATTCCTTAGTCGAAAAGTCACCACCATCTTCAAAAAGAGCTGGAGGTAAGTCATCTGGGCCAGGTGATTTGTAACGCTTCAAGAGTTGGAGTTCCTTGCGGACTTCCTCCTCATTTGGTGGATCAGTCGTCACCGGCCATGGAGGGCAGGACAGTCTGACCGATGTTGCCGGAGCAGCAGGCCAGTTGAACTGCCCTTCGAAAAATTCTGCCCATCGTCCAAGACGTCGATGGATGTCAGTGATTGGCATCCCATCATCCTCGCAGATTGTTTCGCTCACAGCAGACTTCTTGCTGCCAGTGGCTCGAATGAGTTGGAAGAGCTTCCGGTAGTTACCAGATGCAGCTGCTGCTTTCAACTCATTAGCACGCTCCGACCACCAGGCTTCTCGGTCCTTACGCAAGCTTTGCCCAATTTCCTTACGTAACATCCTTCGTTTATGGTCAAACTCACGGTCACCCGGAGTAGACCGACGGGCTTCAATGAGTTGTAAGGAACCTGAAGAAACCCAGTGCTTATAAGCGGGACGTTTCGCGAACCCACAACTGACTGTTCCCGCCATTTTCATGGCGTCATGCAATTGCAACCAATGCTCATCTATACTTTTCGGTGGAGTGGTAGCTAGCCTAGAGGCTAGCTCGGTTCGATACTTACTTGCAACAGAAGTTGCAACCAGCTTGCTAACATCAATCCGTTGATGGCGGTCACTTCGTTGTCCACTGAAAAGTAAGGCAAGATTGGCGCAGACCAAGGCATGGTCAGAGTCCAGATAGGTACTCCAAAAGGAGCGGCAGTCTTGTACACAACCACGCCAGCGGTAGCTGATCGCGATGTGATCAATCTGAGTCCAGGCTTGAGATGCAGAGGGAGGACGCCAGGTGGCACATCGGCGATGACTGTGCCGAAAGTTAGTGCTAGCCAGAAACAGGTTGTGGTCTGTGCAAAGTTGCAGTAGACGGTCCCCGTTATCTGACCTGCGACCAACGAGTCCCCATCGGCCACCTAAACGACTCTCTTCTGTGCCTAGACGCCCGACCTGAGCATTCAAGTCTCCGGCTAGTACTACAATATCTGTCGAACGCACTTTCTGGAGAAGAACTGATAACTGGTGGTAAAACTCATCCTTGATTGCATCCGGGCTGCAATCTGTCGGGGCATAGGCGGAGATGACGAAAAGACATCGTTTCTCACGCCGATTTCTTCTCACTTTGATGGAACTTTCTAATCTAGCTGCACATAACCGACTGTTAATGGGGATCCAATCGATTAGTGCTGCCTCAGCTCTAGCGCTTAGTGCGACACCAACGCCAGCAAGACCAGACAAACATGCCACAAGGTCCCCGGATAGGCGCACGTAAAACAAGCTTTTTGAAGCGACAGATGGAGATCGAATTTGTAGTACTTCACCAGAGTCTTGAATACGGGTCTCGGATAGACAGCAGACATCGATATTAGGACTTTCCAAAGACATAGCCAGCCCTATCTGTTGTCCGACCTGCATAAATGTGCGAACGTTGAAGGCAGCCAGTTTGAATGGTGCACGTGGTTTCAGAAAAACTGCTTCAGTACTCATATTCGGTGGTAACATACAATTTTCAACCGGACAGTGACTCGAGAACGTTTAGATAGAGTCGAATTTCCACCAAAGTCGAGCTGTTGTAAAAGTAAAAAAATTATAGACAGAGTAGGAACAAAAGAGGGTGAATAATGACGTAATAAATAATAATAATAATAACAATAATAGTAATCATAATAATAATTTGAATCACTTGATTGTTAGTCGAAGCAAGAAAAGTAGTTTCCATAAATATAGACAGTTGATCATTTGTGTGTGGTCTGTGATACTGCCCGAGTGTCAAGACCTAAGCAGGTGGTTTCCTTAGATGGACACACCCCGAGTCTTTGACCTCAAGGTCTAACCCACAAGGCAGTGGAGCATCGTGAGGAGATGCAGTTCCATGGTAGCCGGTGACCAACAATTGGTTCATATACCATTTGTCCCTGCAGGATACTGGAGCCCATGTGCACCATTGATTTGGTTTGGGATCCGCTTAAAGCGCCGGACATTCGCTTTTCGTCCTCTCATTTTCGTAAACAATAACCCTACCAAGAGAAGGCAGTGAGTAGGACTTCCCTGGCAGAGGCTGTATACGCGCGGCCGTGTGAGAGTATTTCGATAGGGAGGGCGAACCCACCCCGCTCTCGGCCATACCAGGGCATTTGGGAATTAACCTACTTAATTTTTGTGCTTTTGAATAAACTAAATTATCCATCTCCCATTCTTCACTGATCAACAATTTTCTGATTAAGAATTGTGCTCCAATGGCTGCAGTGAGAGTAGTACGTTTCCGTAATACTCTGGGACACTAATTGCTTATATCTTATACGAGTTATGTTTTTTTAAGCGTTCATCTGCTTGCTTTTTGGTCATCTCTCATATATTTTGCGAAGCGTGACCACTCTATCCGGAGAAATCCTTTATCGGATTTTTGACCATTAAGGGATAATCATTTGAGAGTTCACAGGGAAATTTCTCTGCTTGTGTAATATTAAATTTAGATGGCTGTTAAAGAATGAACCAGCTCATCTAGAATAAAAGTAATTGAGGCTCAGTTATGAGATCGCGTTCGGTACCTCTGATTTTATAATATACATGTACAAAATAATTTGTCTATTCTTGTCTATATTTCAGTAGTTCAATGTTGTAGCAAAAACCTTGAAATAAATGAGAAATATAAAGCTAGGAGCTTCTACTTGTCCTTTATAATTGCTGTGTACCTTTTAACAGTTGAAGACAGTAATTTTCTATTCACTCCGTTTCAATAATTTAATGTGCTAAGTGACTAGATCGTTCATAGTAGTATTTAGAAATCTGAATAACTTATTTTCATTCATAGATACATCGTATATTCATGGAAGACTTTGGCAAACCACCTACTGAACTGTTTGCCAGTTTTGAATATAAACCATTGGCTGCAGCTAGTTTAGCTCAAGTACACCGTGCTGTTACACATTATGGTGAAGAAGTTGCAGTGAAGGTTCAGTATGAAGATTTACGTGATCGATTTGATGGTGACATGGCAACTCTTGAGTTACTTTTAAAATTAATTGAAAAAATGCATCCTAATTTTGGGTTTGCTTGGGTTTTACAAGATATGCGCGTAAGTTTTTTTTAATCAAATTTCATATAGAAAAGATGAGTTCTTTTCATTCATTAAAATGAGCCGTTTTACAATGTTAGCTACGTCTAAGAATTGAAACTAATAACTTTAGTGTTTTACAAATATACTTTTTCATAAGTTGGTCCGGAAAAATGGTAGTAACATTCAACATTTGATTAATCCATCAATTAACATACAACTTATGTAATTAATAACTGCAGTGTATATTTACCAGTAGCTTTCATAGCTTGAATTCCACAGAGTCTGTTTTTACTGGAAAGTAAATATCACTTCCTCTTAATTTCCTCCTGGTTGGATAAATTTGTTTGGATGTTTCACAAATGTAAAGAAAACAGGGCATATTAATATCAAATGCAAATTAGTCGTGTAAAATATTTTATTTGAATGTAGTGACTTGTAAATCTGTAGAAGTAAAAGAAAAAAAAATTATCACATAACTGGTGCAAAATTTGATGTATTCATTACATTTCATTAGTTTATCTCCAACCATATCAAAATTAGTATATATATAGTTTAAAATGTACAAGTACCAAGTATAATTTCATGTACTAAGCTGTGAGCTACATATTTGTGTAAGAGCTTATTTCATTATACGACATCTGCCATGATCAAAGTAGATGAAATAGGTTTCAAATCGGTTATCCCACTGTTGGTTATCTAATATTTCTATTATTAAACCACTGCTCCAAAATAGAGTTTATTATGATTTTAAAATGAAGCATGCATATCTCGTTGAGGAATGTCACATTCATTAAAAGAATAAAGTTCAAATCATTAGAAAACTAGACAGTTCTACAGAAAATATGAATAATAACAGTCGTTTTGGTGCATTGTGTGTTTTTGCCAGTTTAAAAAACTAAGATAAGGAGTTCAAACGTCATTTCTTATGGCATTTACCATTTATTAAACACTTGTTTTTTTTAGCAAAAGCAGTTTACTCGAGATTTTCACCCATGTTGGCCAACCAGAGAGCAATAAATGCTAATGAATGAATTATAACATGATATATATATATATTTCTAGTCGTAGCAGTAAGCTAAACTTCTTACTCCATCCATAGCTCTTAAAACAACTTCTAACCCGAACAAACATTAGAGAGAATCGTTGCTTCATCTCGCATTTCTGTACACTCATACATAGTCATTTCATTTTCGCATCCACAAGTGAATGTTCTCTTCAGCAGTCAAACGTCTTGTAGTTACCTAATAGTGTTTACCAAAACTTGGTCGTCAGATGATACACGTTCAACATTCTGGTTTGATGTGGTTGTACAAACGTCATTTTAGATTGATATATAGACTCCACGGCCTTGGAGTCTTCCTCCATCCTGATTGTCTCGGGAGTATACTTCATGCTTATATACCAAGTTTCTTAATTCTACGAAATCGTCTCACCTATTCGTTTTTTTAAATTTTTTTAAGGAAACATTAGCCAAAGAACTTGATTTTGAAAATGAAGCAGATAATTCTGTTCAATGTTCTACCGATTTATCAGATCTTGGAACTTTAGATAAAAATGGCTCTGTTCATGTACCTTGGGTTGATCGTAAACTTACTAGTAAACGTGTTCTTACTGCTGAATTCATCGATGGTATTAAAATTAATCAAGTGAGTGATATTTTTAAGGCATATGTTTTTTAAACTTGTTACTTAAAATGTACCTTGCTGAATGTAGTGAAAAAATGTTTCAAGTTTTTATTGTTAGTAACTTGTTATATTATGACCCTTACATATAAATAACAAGTTGATTTGGTACTCCCTTCTTGTTAAATATTTTACCTACAGTTTATCAAAAAAATATTGTAATCTATTGAATACTGTAGCATTTCATTTGTTTTGATTGTACATTCTAGTTTCTGCGTTATACAAAACTATCATTAAATGAGGAAGTTTAGGAATGCGATCTCAAAAATTTTCGTCTCAAGTGCGGAATACATACCAAATTAGTTAAGATATCTCAAACTGTTTTGTTAACAGATCAAAAACCATGAAAGGATATCAACCATAATTTGTAACATTGGAGGAAAATGAATTTAAATTGAAAGCTATCTCTGATATCTTATGTACATAGTAGTAGCAATAATATTTTATTGATACGCCACTGTCATTATTTGACAGCATCTATCTACTTGGATCGGTTCGCTGTCTTAAATTTTAAGTAATCTTACTTCATGATTCACGAGTTGGGTTCACTCAAGTCAAATTCTTGTTTTAGATAGAGTAAAATGATATTATTTCAAAAAAATGAATCAGTAAATGTAACATAATAATAGTCAAGTACAGATTATATTCAAAATTACATAACTGTTCACTTGTACCAAAGTTATGCCTGAATATTTACAAAGGGATTAATTGTTCTGTGGTCAAAACACTCGATGTTCAACCAGTGAGACACAAATCTTAACCCTATCCCATCTATTTAGTTTTAGGGTATCTGACTCATCATTGAAATATCGCTTAACTTGTCTGCTTTACAGTTTACATCACAAACTGACCTTAGTCAAACAACTGTTAAAAGCCAAAAAGCACTGGATAGCCATTTCGTCCTAGTATAAAGCATGTAAATGGTGAACTCTCGAGGCGTCATCGGAGACAGAACCTATAACCTTGAAATCTCACTACAAGCTCTTAACTTTAAGTTTCGACCAATTCGCCATATCGTAAAATCATTTTCCAATACCATTGATGAGTAACTGCCTCACATTCGACATATTTGAGCTTCACTGATCACGACTTCATTTTTGTTTCATTCAGTTGTAAACAAAGATAAGTGATAACTTTTCGATATGGTTTCTTTATTCTATTCAGGTATCTGCTCTACGTGATGCTGGTTTCTCTTTAGCTGAATTAGATAGTCTATTAGTACGTGCATTTAGTCATCAAGTATTTTGTACCGGTTTTGTACATGCTGATCCTCATCCAGGCAATTTGTTGGTACGACGTAAACCTCAGATTAAATTAAATGTTTTCCAGAAAATCAAATCATCCATTCACTGTATACCATACATCATATCTAGTGCAATATTATGGATTGGGTTTTTGTGTTATTTTCCTATTAGTATTGCACAGAAATTAAAAAATCCCAACCATAAACTATTTGCATATCCAAATACAAATCGAAATACTACTGAAATTCAGTTAGTACTTTTAGATCATGGTCTATATGATACGTTACCATGTGATAAGCGTAAAGCTCTGTGTAGAATGTATCAAGCTATATTAGACTCTAATGAGTCAACAATGAAAGAGGCTTCTTCATTTTTGGGCGTTGAAGGTAAAAATATTCATAATTTAATTCCTTTCAAATTCGTTTTAATTTATATTGGATTATTCAAAGTGTTGTAGTGTAAATTATTGTTAATTCCTTCATTTACTTTTTATCGTATTTGTTATGTGGTTAAAGGTAGTCATCATGAAACTCTTAACTTAGGTTTTGTGCTATTCGGGAGTCGCCAACAAGGTGTGCTTCTAATCCTGAGGGAACTGGTGCTCCCTAGAAAAATCGATCTCTCGTCATACAGCTTCACAGTCTGAGATGTTATCACTGAGTTATTCAGGCTGCAACTGACCTCTTTTGTAGGACTGAGGTGTTTATAATTGGCTGACCACTGAGTACTGACCGCTACATTGTTTAATCTTTCGGTCCTAGTCAACAGAATTTGTTTAACATCGAAGGATTAGATAAATGTGATGCTGTCCACTACTCAGTGATTAATTGATTGTGTATATCGTATTTACTAGTATAATACTAAAGTTAACTCGTGTACTGACCAAGTCGTGATACTACGGATCATTGTTTAACAAACACTTGAATGGAAGTTGTCACTATGCATCAACTTCCATGACTACGAGAAAGCATCTGGCAGTGTGAATAGGAAAACGTTGTGGAACTTTCTTCTATACTATTATGTACCTAAGAAGATTGCCATTATCATATTGAATTTGTACGTTGACTTTGCCGCAAAGTCGTGCATGGAAAACAACTGACAAATCCATTCCAAGTGAAGACCGGTGTCTGACAAAGTAACTTACTTTCACAAGAAGTAATAAGCGTAAGTAACTGGATAAGTAACCAAAGTTAACTGACATAATTGAAAAGTAGATTGTGGATATTATAAGTTTAAAGATATGTGTGTCAATAGTTAAAGAACTCAGTTGACTAATTCAGCCCCCTTCTACACAATAAGCGTAGCTCAAAATTAAGTACTTAAGATAGCTCCTAGCTACGGAGTTGTATTGAAACCTTTCAAATTATGTACATTATTTTGATCTCAATGTTATATTGGGTTCAGTATGTTAGAATCGTGTATATTAAGAGCTACAAGTACTGATCTTCTATCGAAATAAAATTTTATTAAGTCAAAATGCAAATTGTCAGTGAAAGTATCTGAAAGTTGTTTACTGAAACCAACAAACTATAGCTCCTCATTGTTCATATTCCGTATTTATTACAGTTAATGGTGTAATGTTGTGTTGTATGCTTTCTAATAATTGTCTCTTCTTTTTTAAAGAAAATTTATTCAACCTTTCAATTTCTAATGTCAAAAATTACCGTATTCATATCACACTTAATGCTGAATATTTTCTATGTAGGCGTATAATGCTAACTTTTAGATATATGGATGAAAAACTCTATTGTTTCACTTAGAGACAACTAATTTACTGATATTACATTCGAATATTTTAAGAGTTGGTAAATTCTTTCTGGTTAATAAATTCACTTCTTACTACTCTACTTAGATTGGTCTACTTTTGGAGAAGTTATTCTACAAAGACCTTGGCGTCGTCAAACCTTCAAGTTACCATCTCAACTTTCGGCAGCTGATAAGGCTTATATACGAGCTACAGCAATCGAACATTTCGATCGAGTCATGTCAGTTCTTGAACAGATGCCACGTCCAATGCTTCTGTTTATTAGGTAAGTTTTTCATATCAAGGTGAAGTAATTAGAAGAATGTTCGATGTGGAGTATATAATTTTTTAAGATAAGTTTGATGGACCAGTTTATTCCGTATTATTTACAGTTAATTATTCGAATATTTAGCGGAAGTCCTACTACAGTCATAGACTCAACCAAGCAAATTATAGTCACGATTTCACATTGATGATATTACTCATTTATTAAGTACACGGATTCATGTATCCGGCTTTGAGTTATACTCTTTCTGTCCAGGTTACTTATACTTACCCCGTTACCCGAACAGAAGTTGGTGGGGTGGGACTGAAACCTGCGATCTAGTGGTTAAATGTGTAATATCTTCATCACTAAGCCAACTTTCTATATAATTGTGGACAAATTTTTTACTTTTGATATCGCACTAACTTCTTTGGTTCGATCCACAAAATCATTTATTTAACTTTCATAAAAACTATCTCAAAGTGGCGGAAAGTAATTCTCATGGTAAATACTTAATTATCATCAGTTACTACTCCTCTTGGAAGAATTGACGGTTACCACAATCGTATTATCTCAGGTTATGACAGAATATATATACCTAGCACAATGATTACCAGGTGCATCATGATAATATTACGGTGGTCATTCATTATCATTTAACTGCGAGGCACAACACCTAACTGGGCGATTGGATTGTGTAGTTTATGTATTTACAATTATTCTGTAACCACTATTTTGAATCCAAGTGCTAACTCAAAATCTTTATCTGTTTCAAACATCATACTTACAATAAGTAAGTTAAAAGTTAACCATCATTCTAGTTAATATGGAAATAGATCAAATGTGGTTAGCAATGGAATCCAGGACGCGCGTCTGTCCTATTTCGGACGCGTTAGCTGGATGCACCTGCATCCCAGAGGTGATGTTCATTCCGGGACTCAAACCCAGCACTGTTTGCTTTGACCGTCACCATACTGAATTCATATAGTTACTCGCTTTTCCAACGGATATGAAATCTAATTCAATTTGAAATGGTTTGAATTATCTCGATGTTAATATTTTTGACTGAAATTGGGTCAATCTTAGTTGATATATGGGCGTCCTATGTCGATTGCCTTAATATAGATAGAATGTAGCTGTTTAATATCAACTTTTGTCATAATGTTTGTATCGAGATAATCTGTACAGGATGACATATATCAACTAAGATTGATTAAATTTCAGTCGAAAATATCAAAAACTGAATAATTCATCCGTTTCAAATTTAATTACATCGCTATAGTTGTTTGGTAATAGCTTTCATATACTTAAGTGTATTGATACCGTTTTATTCGTAAATTATTAATTGTAGGAATTTAAATCTTATTCGTTCTATATGTCGTTCTCATGGTGATCCAATTGATCGTCATTCTTTAATGATAGATAGTGCTGTTCTTGGTAGTAGAATTACAACATCATATTCTGGAAAGTTAATTCCTCTGTCATGGATTGATAGATTAGGGGTGAATATAACACTTCAACGATATCACTGGAAATTAAAGTATGTTTTTTATATTTATGGATTGTTCTTCAATTAGCCTTTTATGTTATCCTGTGCTCGTAGATTATTATTATTATGCCACGTGATTACGTAGTGTGGAATTTCATGTAAATGATTCGAAATCATGCATATTATGTTGTAGCTTTAGATTACTTTCAGGAAGCTTAAACCAAGTGTGCTAAATAAGGTCTGTTGTTTTTCTATTAAACTGACTGTTCACAGTCATATATATAGCATAAAAGTCCTTGGGAAACGTCACAAAAACATATTGAAAGAGGCAACGAACCAATGACAGTTAGGGTCCTTCCAAGTAGGAAATACAATCTGAAGGCAAAAATAGACACTTTTGGCGCAAAAACGAGAAGTTCAAATTTCCAAAATAAAATTACGAAAATAAGACGTTTCGCAAGTGATTTTTGGGGATCTACCATTCCCAACAACTTAATCATTTCAAACATCGAACTTTTAACTTGAGTCTGAGATCGAAGTTTGTATTGTAGGATATTCTTTTAATTGATATTTATTTTAGTGCAAATTTTTCCTCTGATTTATTACATACTGAGGATACATATTTTTAGCACTAATATTCACTATTACGATTTGTCAATTCTTACACATTACCTATTATTCTTCACTGTTTATTATTATTACTTCTTTGACTTTTGAAAAGATTTCACTATGGCATAGAAAAGGAGTGTGTGTGCTGAAGGTGATTAGTAAAGTATATGGTTAATATTTTAATGTCACTACGAATAAGGTTGTTGATAGGCTTTTGAAATCTTGCAAACTACTACCAAATATTATTTTACCAAACATTAATCATCCTCCTTGTATATAAAAAAAGTACAAAAAGCTCTACAATATCGTATCTAGCACATCTCCTATACTGCAAAGAGGTGATAAGAAAAGGATCTGCGAGACTATAATTTGTAGACGAACCAATCAGAAGCGGGCGAGCGATTTCATGGTCACGACGCCCGTTTCAATACTCAGTGCTCACGTACTATCGGTTTATAACGGATTTCAAGGAGGACTTCACAGTTGAGCGGCTACAACAGATGGGATTACTGGGAAGTTCTTTTGTTTGTGACTGCACCGTTCAAATGACTGCTGGACATTGTGCAACCTTGTTATGGCTCCAGAGGTCGACTAATTATGCAGTCACATGCATGAGTTCCTGTACCGTATGTATTACGATTTCAGAACCAAAGAGTCTCTTTCTAACCTTGGAAAGTTTTTGAACCGTGTTAAAGAAGTGCATTTACTCTAGTTTTTTTGGTTTTGTATAGTATATTCTTGCTCTATACTGACTGTCTTCTGATTGACTGAAATTCCTCAAAGTCACCTAAGATTTGTTCAAAGGTCGTTCATAAATTATAGTCTCGCCTTAAGAAAAACTTGTTGTAACATTATATACTGAAAATTTCATATTATATTGAACATATAATATTGAATAAAGCCATTATTACGGTTTATTATTAACTATTCGAACCTAGATAGATACAATTCAGTTCGTACCAGTGATCGTCTAGTTCACTATTTATAGTCTGTGTTGTTATGCTTACTTATTTCTATCTCTCTTTACTTTGTTTCATCCCATAGATATGAAACATTATATTTGTGGATTCAAGGTTTGGTCTATCAATTATTATACGCTGTAGGTCAAGTACCTGATATCAATGAATTATCATCATTGTATAATGTTGCAACTCCTAAAGCGTTATCAGCTAACGTTTAACTCCTAATCCGATCAAACGCACACACACACACAAAGAACAAGAGAAAGCAATTCTGTTGGAAAAAAGAAATAATCACATTAATTTTTCATTATTTTTAATCTCTGATTTCTTCCTATTTATTTTGTTCTTAACCTTGTATCATTTGTAGATATCAATACTAAGGTCGGACTTGATAACTTAAAGTAAATTGAGCATTAGATAGGAGGTTAATAATAAATATACTTTTTATTATATCCCAACCAGTAGAAAAATTGTATTTCTGATGTTTCGTCACTTAATGTAAGCCGCTTCTTCGGTTATTTATTTGCTTTGAAGAAGTGGCTTATATTAAATCACGAAACGTCAGTAACATAATTTTTCTACTCATTGGGATCTAGCTTGTGTTATTTGTTTACTTTCTATCTCTGGTGTTTCTTTTTTTCTTTCGATGCTTTCTGTTTTGATGTTAGCAACTTGTCTCAATTGTTGGTGTGTGTGTGTGTGTTCATCATTTACACACAGAATTTCTGTAAATATCTTTCTATTGAACAGATGTAGATCAGTAGGAAAACATACAATTTCATACTAACTAATTATATGGGACCATTTTTCTGCTTAAATAATGCTCTGTACTTATACATAATACTATTTTCATTTAGATTTACTGAGAACTTCGGCGAGACTATAATTTATGAACGAACCAATTAGGTATAAGATAACATGTCTCGGATTTTGGCGCGAAATTCACTCATCCATTTGATTAAATAGAGTTTTGACATTATAGATGATGTCAGTTCGTAATGGAAACCCTAAATCTAATTCCTCACACAAATTTATGACCCTCATTTGATCCTAGTTATTAGGTGGACACTCAAGGTTAGTCTAGCGTCGCTCAAAAGTCGTCCATAAATTATAGTCTCACCAGAACTTCTAGTTGATTCAGTATAGTATTGATGCTTAGTTTTTCTATTATATATATAATCATTTCAATTTGATGGAAAAATTCTTTCTTTTATTGATTGAATTTCTTTAAAATACACTAATAAACATACTAAAATTTATATTGAATACAGTCACCTCCTGAGAATGGACATGTTACCAAAAACAAGGAAATGTTTATCTGAAATATGAGCACAACATGAAATTTGTTTCATTCAAGTAATTTATTAGTGTATTTGATAAGATGTTTGTATCGATTGATCCTTACCTGTTATAACTTGTGGCTTTGTGCCCTATTAATATATAACGTAATGATACCACCAATTAGAGAACAATGATTTATCGACCGAACCAATGACTTATAAAACCCGTACGAGCAGTCTAGAGTCTTTATTGATCCTTCTTCCTGCCTAGTTCTGCCTGTTAAGTCCAAAACACCAATCTCAGCCTCGGCAATATGAATTATGTATTTCAAACATACTGAGTTTATATAAAAACGAAACAGATTACATCGTACCATAAAATAGTAATAAAATTTGTACAAGATCTAGCCAGAAGTGACAGTGAATGTGGGAGGCTGTAATTAATAGACTGGGTATAACTCAAGAACGGTAAATCATATCATAATAGTTTATGGGTCAAAACAAAGCTTTTAATAAAAGGAACATGAACATGCATAGCTTAGGTACTTAACAATTACACAATAATAATATATGACAGTTTAGGGGTTGTGGAGATTGTTAAGTTTTTGATTGAAATCATGAACCGATTGATGTTAGACCACCATTGAAAACCTGGAAGCACTGGGTGGCCGTCTCGTCCTATTGTGGGACTCCTCAGCAGTGCGCATCCATGGATAACAATATATGTATCATATTGGTTTATAAATAGTTCTCAAAAGTTACCATTCATAATTCTCGTCGGGATATAACAACCTTATTGGTGGTGGTAATATGTTTATGTGCACAACTAATTGTTCTGGTTTTAAGTTTCCGAAAATATACCTTTCAAATTTCAACCTACACAACACCTTAAGAATACAACATTTCGCACTTTCTGATTTCAATTTTGACATATAGTACATTAAATCTCTTTAGTTGACTACTTTTAGCTTTTCAGTACAGGTAGAAATCTGTATTTTAAGTAAATATTAACCTAGTTTATATGTTATTAAGGAATTAGTAGCTAGAAAATGGTATACTTTCAAAATAATCCGTCGTAGTAATTTATATTTGATCTGACATAACATCATTTATCAATCATCATATGCTATGTTTGAAGCGATTACGAGTTTACCTAATCTGAGGACGCAACGTAGACTTTGTAACACAATAACAGATAAGCTAGCTATTCTGATGCATCTCGGCCCGGCTAACTAGAGCGAGAAGTCCAAGTTCGAAATGGCGAAATATATTACACAAACAGTCAGAAGCATGAGTAATAACAACGGGCATAAATCAAACGTATACATACAGCATAAAATTGTCTTTGGGAAGCGTTACAAAATAGCATACTAAAAGATACAACGAACCAATAGCGTTTAAGATTCTCCCAAACGGAAAATACGACATGAAGGTGAAAATGAGCGCTTTTGGCGCGAAAACAAGAAATTCAAATTTTCAAAATAAAATTACAAAAATAAGGTATTTACCAAGTGAGTTCTTGGGATCTAACATCTTCAACATCATAGTCCTTATCAAAATATTCTCTACAATATCTCCGAATATTTTATCGACAGGATATTACTTATATGTTATTGAGTCTAATTCCCTTCTAAACTTTGTGAATTGTACAGTCGAACAATCTAAGTTAAGATTAACTAGTAAAATATGATATATATCGTATGTTTTATACATAACTGACTAATTTTGTATTGTGCATAAATCGATCCGAGTATGTATTTGTGTTAGTACAACTTGTGTTATCGAAATCTAGCAGTTGACTAAAGGCCCAGAAAATAAGTGTCTGTAGTCAGTAAATTTAACCTATCCTTAGTTATCAACGTGATCTGACTATTAGGTTATATCAAGCTGATTTTTTAATTAGTTACATGGTTTATGGAAAGCTGAATGGGATAAATCTTATCACTGTTATTTAATTAATTCACAACCGGACACCAATAGGACTACACGTCACATAAAGTAAAATTATCGTGAGTATGAGTATTCTGCGCGTGCCTAATGTGGAACAGTCGACCCTCCTAGTGGGACGACCGCCAAGCCCTTGAATTCGAAGTGTAATCCATAAATGAGTGGAGTAACATCAGCAGATACCGTCCCATGATAACATTTGTCGATAATCGGTTTATACCACATTACTTCCTTTAGGAACTTGAAGTCGGTATGTGCTATCAATCTCAAGTCGTGATCTTCCAACTTGTAGTTGAATCCTTCCTATTTGTCAACCTGTATAGAAATTAATTCACCGATCCGAGATAAACGTCTGACCAACATTCTCGCAAACTACAGATTTGTTAAAGGATATAAATTATAGTATCATTGCTTCAAGGTCAGCTTCTAAACATTCACATGACGTGTGAACCAAAGCGCAATGCAAAACCATAAACATCATGGGTCTTTGTATGAATTTTCGCTGTTCTAAATATTTATAAACAAGATCTCAAGTTTACACAATGTAGTAATTAATTCGAATATGCGAAATCGCGAACCTGTTATTCACTTCACTAAGGGTAATCCTTTACTATTACGAGAAAAAGCGAGCTATTAAAGTTTTTTTGAATTAGTATTGCAATGTTTAAACCAAACATGTATTTAAATTTGGTCAGATATTTGACGTTGAAAGAATTCATACTACTAATAAATTGCTAAGTAATCAGCACGAGTGAAAATAACCACATTGGGAAAGTTGTTTATTAGAATTTGAAATTTAAACCCATAGTATTCAGCATTAAATGCCTCCATCAACAGTATTTAAATTGTTGTTGAGTTTTTTTCACGTACGCCAAGCTGATATACCTACCTACGTTTTCTCTACCAAACCTGTCACACCACTGGAATAAATAATTGCGATAAATCAGAGAGGGGTTTTGTGGATATTATAGTGATTTAATAGTAGAATTCATGAGACGATCCCGCCCCATGAGAGTCAATTCCAAGACCTATCGATCTCGCGCGCGAACGCGGTGAAAGTGAATTTATGTAGCTATAAAAAATATCTTGAAAAGCCAGTCGAACACCAAGTACGATTGTTTTATGAAACTGAAGGAGGTTTTCTCCATTTGTCCGTATTAGCTTCAGAAACTAGGAAATATCAAAGGCCGTTTCGTTCTAATTCCCTACTATTCATCAATAAGCTACCAGGACAATACATAGAATCGAACACGGTATTTGTTGAGACTAGATGCTCGTTTGTATAAAGAATAGTCCAACGTTGTACATAATTCCACTAAACAATTTAGTCACCAATAAAATTATTTATAATACTTAGGTTTCTGGTTTGCATATTACCCCAAACATTTTCGAAATATGGGACACTGAATTGTTTTCATTCTTTATGAACTTTTGCTGTGGAATTTTCATTCCCAAACGTGGAGCAAAAATGAACCAGTCTCAATATTTCAGCCAACTTATCTGAAACAATCTGTAAACAGTGCTGCTAGTATGAAAAGAATAATCTTACACTGAATAAGCCATTTCAGTGTATTTGGTCGTGTAGGGTCAGTGAAATGTCACTGAGACCTAGCCAAATCATCCGGCAGTTAGGTCACTGAACATCCAACAAGTCATCGATCCTCGTCAAAGTCAAAGACAATCCACGCGTATCAGTTAATCGTACAACATGGACTGGGCCATGCGGCAGTAGTCTTACTTTCGCTTGTATCTACCTTAACTAATATATTTCTATAATAACAAACTCTGTGTTATACGGTCTTCAAAGCAACCATAGTACTTTGATACATCGAAGGGGTAATCTACGTTAGATACTGACCGCAAGGTGTGAATTCAAAGTTAGCCGTTTTGTCACACCACTCCTGTCTAACTCGAGTAGGCCTCCAATCATTCGACATAGATCATCTACGTTGGTGATCTATAGTCCGTATTAAGACTAGGTCGAGTGACATCCATCCATGTACGAGCTCTTTAACAGTAGTATTGAGTTCAGAACAATTGAACAGCACCATATTAAATAATATCTACATCGAGTGCATGTCATCATTTATCAATGAATAAATTTTGTTGTTTTAATCTCATTATTAAACTAATCAAATTAGAACAATTCAACTTATTGATCAACATATTTAACACCTTGAATAAATAACGCGTTTTTTATAACATAAATAGGCGAGATTATTATATGTGGAAGAACCAATCAGATTTAA